CTGGGTCATACATCAGTTCCGAGACTCCTTCAGTGCTAAGATGATCTGGTAGCCGGTAATGAAGCGCTAACAACTTCTATGTTTCCGGTCCCAGCCATTTCCAAGAAGCATTCAGCTGAAACAGACCGAAAGCTTCGGTTCCACCATCTTATTTTTTTAATTTACTGATGGACAGATACTCCGGCTAAGGTGTCACAACACATCAGCGCAACACGTAAAATATGCACTGTGAGGACAGGAAATGTCAATGTTTGAGCGGCTGGGAGGGAGAAGAAAACAACAAAAAGAGGCAAATCGAGCGTAAGAAAGAACTGTGTCTTCTGCATACAGGATGGTGTGTGTTATAAACGAATTAAGTGACGCAGGGCTAGATCGGTTGCCGGGCGAAAAGCTCATTGTCACGAGCGGTAAAAAATGCAAGTAATTTTAAAAGATGGAAAAAAGCGCGTAGGGGGAAAAACGAGGGCGCACACAGGGGACGACGCTACATACGCTCAAATTTCTTTCAAAATTTCTGTCCAAGCATTTCCAGCCTCTCCGACTATAAAGCTAACTTCAGTACGAGCCCAAATTCAGAAGTCAAACGTAATCAGTTTTAGGAACTGATTTAGATTTCTCGCCTGCGAGAATTCCGAGGGGGAAAAAAAGGTGTGTCGAAATCTCCAGCTGACAGACTTCACAACCTTCAATTTATAAAACTAGCTGAAGCACGGGCCTGAGGTCGTAGGTCTGGGAAGCATGTAATTATACACAAAGACGAGAAATTATCTGCGAGGGTGGCTCTGCAACTACACGATTTCCCAGGGAAGCCCTCATTTTCAAATGGAACTCCTTCTGCGAAACTCCAGCAAAAAAAGCAGGATGCTTTTTCAACTTAGTGCTAATGTCTCCGAAAGTAAGTACCAAAAATAAAGGTTGGCAGGACCGGAAGCCGGTACCGACCACACTCGAAGCAGTCATTAATGGATCCGTAAGTAGTTGCTTCCTTGATGAGATGTGCACTTCCAGTACACGCAACACTGTTCGGGTGCCCACAGTAACAGATAATACTCAGAAACAACAGAATCAAACATATAAATATACACTGAAAGATTCACAAACTCTGAATGGTCTCGTCCAGTACAATGTGGCCGGCAAGAAGTGGAGCCTGCGGCACCTCCAAGGCGCCTACCGATGACCAATCTTGACGGCAGTGCAGTGCAAAACCCTATCCTAAAACAGAACATACAGTGCCTCCCTCCCCGGAATTTACGTCCCAAGTACAGCTTTTCGCACAAATTGCTCAGAAACAGAGTCGCAAAATGGTTGAGTTAGTGCTTCGTGTAACGTTTATACATTGCGATACTGCTACTTTGTAGCAGCCCGGCATGCACTTCTGCAGTGCAGCACAATTTATCCATTTTTATAAGTATTCTAACCAACATTTCTTTAAAACAATTGCTTCCGGGACAAGACACACATTTTTCATCTCAGAAAACAAAGTGCCGCAAAACAGCAGTTTCCAGGCCGGCCAACGAGCAAATAGCAGAACGGACGAATAAATTATACAGAAAAACTATCACAGATGCGCCACAAACACAGCAAACAAGCATTATGCCTCTCGAAATGCTTGTGGTTAATAGATGCTGCTCACGTTGAAATGAGCAATGTACCAAATGCACGCCCGGTTTTTGAAAAGCAAACTGTTACAATTGCTTTGGTTGAAAATGCTTGGCAAAATTTTCAGCATTATTTCAAAACGAAACCAGACTCCCAGGATCATAGAAGTGCGGTTCAAAAGGGGACCAAGACAAAAGATCTTGGAAAATCAGATCAATTTTATGTGCTGGATCATGTCTACATCCAATCGCCTTTTTCTCCAGAAGATAGAAAAAATGCTAAAAATTTTTAAAACGCATTACCTATCAATCTCGTCATGCAAAAACTAGTTTAATATGTCATTGTGCCTGACGCTTCATCTACGACAACGATGTGAACAGTGCTATAACACGGTACTTCCTGTACCAGGGCAAAACAATGTAAAAAAGAAAAAAAAAAACATCGTAATGCGCACTGGTGGTGGTAACCGTGAGCATTACCAGACAGCCGCTTATCTTTCAAGACAAAGTATGCAACTTCGGATTGACAGCAATCTGAACTGCATGCATTCCTCATGCTACAGAGATGCGATCATCAGCGGCAACTAACTACGAATCCCAGCCGTTTTTACCAACTTTCATTTAGCTGCACTGAAGGCACCGGCAACAGAATTTTAAAAATTCTGGATGCTTTCTTTCTTTGGAAAACGCCAAAAAAATCGGTTTTGCAGCCACCAAAAATGCAAATTTTGCGGAAAATTCTAAAAAGAAGGAAAAAAGAAATGCAGGCTGGTTTCTCACAGGTAAAGCAGCACTGCAAGATGCAGCTTCTACGCGCCACTTCTGATGCTCGGTAATCCAAATCAAACACCATAGGTTTTGTCGACTTGTTCGTGTTGCTGTTGATGCTGCCGTATTGCCTGCTAAAATATGCGAACAGTGTAGCAAAAGCAGCACATTTTATTCCTACCCGGTGCTTTTCGTTCCCACTACACTCCCCCTGGCCCCATTTCTGGATATGACACATTCCCACATCTTACATCTTTCAAATAATTCAGTTTGCAGAAATAACCTGATACAGTTGCTGTTGCTGCTGCTGCTGCTGCTGCTGTAGTTGTTGTTGTTGTTGCTGTTGCTGCTGCTGTTGTACGGGTGGTGGCTGTCCTGGTTGTTGGACTGGCACAAAGCCAGTCTGCTGAGGAGGCATTCTACCAGGTTCCTGTACAGGCACCTGACCAGACTGTTGCACCGGTAACTGCCCAGCTTGATATGGAGGTACTGCCGTAGGAGCCGGCGTTGAATATGCATATTCACCCCATCCT